CGAATTCAAAATCAAACAAATCAACTTATAATCAATTCTACCTATTATCTAATAGCTAATAATGAATATTTTTTTCGTTCCCTATTCACCGAGTGTAATAGCATTTCTTTAAATTAAATTTAAGTGTTAATTTATTTACAAATCTATTTTCTTTCAAGGGTATCTTGAAATGCTTCAACTAAATTCAATCAAATTAATTATCCGTCGCTACAATTGGCTTAAAAATTCAAAATCCTTACATTTTAATGTAAAAACCATTAGAAGCAAAGCTTGAAACCACAATCCCTTATTGAATTACATTTAAATATTACTAAAACAAATGATTTAATAGCATTGATTTATGATCGTACACTTGTTGCTATGTATCAGCCTAATTGTTTAACTGGTATTTTAACCTTGACGAAGATGTGACGAGAAATATCCTTCAGATAATCAAAGGTAAATCCTCAGAAATTGTATCATTACAATTTGATGAAAGATATAATTGAACAGCAATTGATAAAATACTTATCATTTTGGACTTTGAGATGTTTACGTGTTTATTTCTTACTTTATTGATCAATATCATAGTAAATCCTTTTGATACCCAACAATAAATCAAAATGATATGTTTAACTTAACAGTTACATCAATGATGACGCCAACTTTATGATTACTTGAAATTGTGAACACACAAGTTAATTTAAAATGCTAAATCAAGTGATCACAAGACAAACGGTTGTAAACATTTATTGTTGGCTTTCAGACAATTGATCAGTTGAACAAGTTGATAAAATTATGGTTTGTTGGAAAACCAATTTTAGTGCAAACCAGGTAAAGAAGTCGCAATTGAATTTACTCAACCTTTATTTCAGGAAGGACAGTAAACAAATAGTAACCATAGATGCTTAAACACATGACGATCACCAATAATATCACATTCAAAATAAACATGAAGGAGACCTGAAAAATCACAGAACTGTAAAGAGAATCGGAAAATGTATTAAAATGAAAGTCTATTGAAATGGTAAGATTTACAGAAACATATGTAATGATTAACTGTCTTAGAAATATAAAGTACTTGTGTTTCATTAAATATATATCGTTAATATTACATTCAACTTCTTCCATATCTTCCTCAGAGCTGATAAAATTCACGGATTATGATCCCAAATGAGCTTTTTCATACTAACGAGTAATGTTTTGAAAACTCGTCCCATGTACAGCAGATTTTGATGGGTTTAGGTCCAGACAGGATGGGACAACAAAATACTTTGGGATAATTCATACAAGATATTTTAGTTTTTATACCAAAATTATCATGAGATCGGCAAATTCCTATGTCAGCGCGGACTTTTCTGCCATCTGCAGGGTTTAGAGTTGAGTGAATGAACAACCAAATAACGAGTGCTATTGGTGGCGAAATTGGACTTACCATGTGATCTTTCATGTTATCGTTTCAGGTCATTTAACAGAAATATTAAACAGTTGGAAGGTGGGAATTGAGCTGAAGGTCCATGAATGGAGATATTTACCAGAAAACTATCAGGAAAAGATAAATTGTCTCAATTTTTCTATTTCCGTGGGATCTCAGAGTGTCTATCTAAAAGTTAATTATCCTTACAAAATCAATTACAATTTTTGATTATCAAAATCGTTTTTTGCTTGGTTTAACTTTTTAAGGTAAACCAGAAACTAATTTTTCACCGATAAAGCTCATGGGTATAACTGTACAAAAGGCGATCGCGGTTCCAACTTTAACCTTGATTTTCTCGGAAACTGTCGACGGATGAATTTTTGGATAACGGTGGATAATCTTATAAAAAATTGTTTGAAAATGTGGTGGAAAAAAAGTCACTCTAAAGTGGTGGACAATTTTGTTGAGAAAAGTATCTTCAAAAAGTGATGATGTTTGCTTTGGTTGATGTGTTAGATTGGGTGGTGGTTAATATGGTGGACAATACGGTGAAAAGACGGTAAAAATGTGGTGGATAAAGTGTTGGAAAGGAGCCGGTCCCGTCTGAAGTCCTTTACATTGGCTTGGTCCAATTTGGTTGTTTTATGGTTTTTTAGTGAAACCCTAAGTACTTTAATAATAAAGAGCTTCAGATTGAATGCGAACTGAAAGAGTAACTAAGAGCGAAAGGTTTAGCCTTATGTTGATACATTTGTGAGAAAACCTGATCAAGGTTAAGGGTAAGGGTTAAAGGTATAAGGTTATCTATGGGAAGCTATTAAAATGGGTTACAACCAAATCATATGTAAGGTAACATAAGGTTATTTCCTATCATCTTAGACCAACCTTTAAATATCAGATTCAACCAATAACTGAGTGAATCAAACTAACAAACTATCCTAGTCAAGAGCTGAACGAGTTAACTTTCCCTTTAACTCTTTCGATTTGTAACCTTCGAACCATGATTCTGACCTCCAAACAGACTCATCTAACCTTGGTTTGGGAAATAAATCAGGTTTAAGGCTCCAAAGGGTTGAAAACCGATGTATTAAAAAGTATCTTCTTCAATAACTGTATACAGTCCACTCAATATGCTTCACTCGGATTTGTTCCTGGGTCGTTAAAAGCTCAATAACTAATTATTTTTTCATTCTCCAATTAATTGATGATGATCTTTAGGCCATGTTTACATTGTTTTAATGTTTTCAAAGACAATCAACTCATAATCTTAATTACCATCGATCAAAAGGCAAATGAAATTGTTCTTTAATTTTATCATGAATAATTTTTAAAAGACGAGTAAAAGATTCTTTTTACAAAATGCTAATTTCATTGTTTCAAACATTATTAACTTAAATTTTGTGCGATTTATGTCTTTTCATAACAAAAAGCTACATCTTTAATACGATCTTTAAGAGTGAAAGGTTTAGCCTTATGTTGATACATTTGTGAGAACTTGATCAAGGTTAAGGGTAAGGGTTAAAGGTATAAGGTTATGGGAAACTATTATAACGGGTTACAACAAAATCATATGTTAGACAACATAAGGTTATCCGAAGCATCTTAGGTCAGCCTTTAAACACCAGATTCAACCAATAACTGAGTGAATCAAACTAACAAACTATCCTAGAGATGAACGAGTTAACTTTCACTTTTAACTCTTTCGATTTGTAACCTTCAAACCATGATTCTGACCTCCAAACATTCTCATCTAACCTTGGTTTTGGGAAATAAATAGGTTAAAGGCTCCAAAGGGTTATTTTGAGTCTTTATAGAGGCTTTAGAGTAAACTGTTTGGTTAATAACTACAATGTATAGTAATCAGAAGTTGAAGCTAATGAATGACGAACATAAAGGTAATAAATGTAACTGTCAGCTGATTTGTTTGATTAAACAGAATAAAAATCAAAATTGAGTGATGTAAAGATTTATGTATGCTTAGATTTGATCTCTACAATTAGTGGCAAGCAATTTTCCTTTGGGTAAATACAATTTTTACAGCAATAGGGTTTATTTTAATCAATGTATCAATATGTTTATGAAGTCTATGGTTTGGTTACAACCGTTTTTATGAACAATCAAATCAATAAATTCTGTTCAGATAACATTGACTGGATTAATAAGTATCCTGAGTTGGTATTAAATTAGCCTTTAAGCCTAAAAAGAAATAGCAACGGTACAGTTATCAGTAAAGATATAATTAAAATTGCTTGTAAATCACTCAAGGAGCTTGCACTCACAGAAGGAGATCAATTTAACTTCAAATTTTTCCCTAAATCCAGACGTCCTATGTCTTATGTAATGTGTATCCATGGTTACTTGTCCAGATAATCTAAATCTTCAGCAATGGATCAAGTTGATGGTTAACTGGTAAAGCAAAGGAAGAGGAGAAGGAGGAGAACACGATAAAAACTCGTGAAAAAAAGAAATATTCAATGGAATTAGAAAAGAAGGTGTGGAAAAGTCAAAGTGATTAATATTTTTTATGTGTTTACCTTCATTTCAGCTTACTTTACCAGTTTACCAAGTTTAACCAGCATTGCGAATCATCCACAGGAAAGGTTAGAAAAAGCTTCAAACTTGTTTTACATTGTGAGTAATATCGACTTTTCAAGGTAAGAGTTAAAATGTTAAAATTGCCAGTCCAAGTGACGAAGTTGTCAGTTTCATATTTGAATTGTGTTTCTAATCTTCTGCCAAATTGGTTTTGCTTTTATTTTCTTTACTTTCAGAAGGCGATTTCATCAAAAATGGCAGCCAAATTGATTATCTTCCTCTTTAATTGTTACTGTGAATTAAATAGTTACTGTGAACCCTCTCAAAATGTCACGTAGTCATAGTAACGAAATAAACAATTTAGTTTAATCCAGCTTTTTTGATTAATGAATTTTGAGAAGACTCTAATTATGTTTTTAATACGATATATTATACGAATCGTCTTTCAAAAACCTGTTAGCAAACACACCAAATCACAAAATCAAATTAAAATTAATTTTCTAATGTAAAATAAGATTCGTAGAAAGGCTATTTCACCTAAACATTATAGCTAAATAGCCAGAATGCTAATCCCACGACATGACAATATGAAAGGGTTCAAATTGACGAAAATATTACATTTTACGGAATCTGAATTTTCTGAGCTAAATTCAATTCGAAGATGAATACAAACAATATCAATTGAAATACGCGTTCGAATGCAAAAACAATGTTTATTTTTTTCTTTTAAACTCAAGAGATGTTATTTAAAGAACGGTTACAGCCAGTCGCTAAACAGTCGGTCGGTCGATGCAAGTATCGACTAACTTCGGTGTCTAGTGATGTGATTTACAGAACTTTAACGAAACTACTCAACCTGATTAACTGAAGTTCAATGAAAAGCTTTCACCGTTATCGTTATCAACTAAATAAAAAGATGGCGTTAGTGTATAAAATGTGTTTGAAAAAAATTCACTGTTTGTAAGTTTGAAGGTGTGATCCGTGATCATTTGGTCGTTTATTGAATAATGAGCACAATCTGTCTTCTGCGGATTGAAATAAAATCAAATTGTTACGATTAATTTCTCTGCTATTCTAGACCATTTGGGTTATTTTTATTAGTGACATCATTCGTTTAAGTTTTTATACCCAAAATTTTTTGCCATTCAACATCTTTAACAATTTTTTACAGCAACCCAAGTAACTTTCTCTCATATTCTTTGTGTATATTTTGTTGTTTTTTACTTGCTTTGTAAATAAGTGAAACTTTTGCTGATCTCTGTTCATCCAGTACCCTGTTCTGCTTTTGGAGCTTTCAATTTTCTTACCAGAAAACTTGATTAAAATTTATCCTATGACATCAAATTGATACAAATACAGTCGTGTTACCAAAGGCTTAGCAAGTTGACCATCATTGTGTAACGTTTGTGACCCTTTTTTGTTTTATCGGATTTTTTTATTTTTACATACTTCAATATGGAAAACTCGTTAGGAGCTAGGGATAAAGTCGGTGTTCAAGACTTTGTCCTCCTTGAAAATCATCAAGATCCAGAAGCTTTTTTGGATAATCTGAAGAAACGATTCAAGGAAAACCTCATCTATGTAAGTCCATCTATTTATTATTATACTTTTCTTTATAATTATGTGTCCAGTTTATCGTCAATTTTGTTAATTTTTCTTTTCTATGGTTTCCCAGACCTACATAGGTCAAGTGCTTGTGTCTGTCAATCCATACAGAAGTTTGGATCTCTATTCAAATAATTTCATTGAACAATATAGAAATGTAAACTTTTATGAACTTCCTCCTCATATGTAAGTTTTCCATGAAACATTCACTCTTCTTGCCATCACTAATACAATATCATGTCACTCAATTTATTTTTGATTGATTGTCATCCTTGTGTTGGTTATTTTGTGTGGTTTCATTAGCTGATTTTTCTCTTTTTTTTCTTCTTCTTTCCAGTTTTGCTATTGCTGATACAGCTTATCGATTAATGAAAGATGAATGTCGTGATCAATGTATTCTGATATCGGGTGAAAGTGGCTCAGGTAAAACAGAAGCTTCCAAAAAGATTCTCAACTATCTTGCTGCAGCAAGTAAACATTTGGCAACAGTGGATAGAGTGAAAGACAAGCTAGTTCAATCAAATCCTGTATTGGAAGCTTTTGGTAATGCCAAAACCATTAAAAACGATAATTCATCTCGTTTTGGTAAATATATGGACATTGAATTTGATTACTTGGGTAATCCTAGAGGAGGACATATTACCAATTATTTGCTTGAGAAATCTCGTGTTATCCATCAAAACAAAGGTGAACGCAATTTTCACATTTTCTACCAACTTATTAGTGGAGTTGATGAAAAATTATTATCCAAATTACAATTACGGAGAGACCCATCCATGTATTATTACCTGAATCAAGGAGAAAGTTTTGATGTAACCGGAATTGATGATGCTCATCACTTTAACCTAGTCAAAAGTGCCCTTCAAGAATTTGATTTTACTTCAGAAGAAGAAGAATCATTGTTTTTCATTGTTGCCTCCATTCTGCATATGGGTAATATTGGTTTTCTTGAGGAAAACGGTGAGGCCATTATTGCACAACAAAAGCCCATTATAAGCCTGGCAAAGCTGTTAAAATGTGAAACAGAATCATTAAGACAGGCATTTACCAATAAAAGTATTGAAGTTCGCAATGAACTTGTTTCAACACCATTGAGCCGAGACCAGGCCATATATGCTCGAGATGCGTTAGCCAAAGCAATTTATGAAAGACTTTTCACATGGTTGGTCAAAAAGTTAAATTCATCGTTAGTCTCTAAAGAAAAATCTCCTGATCGATCAGTCATCGGTCTATTAGATATCTATGGTTTTGAAATATTTGAATCAAACAGGTAATTTTGTTTATTATGGCTTTTACTTCCATTGTTATTCTCAAATTGCCCATTGCTGATTACCCTAAATTATCTCAACCCAATCCAAATTTTACTAATTTTACTATTTTATTTGTTTCTTTCTTATATCAGTTTCGAGCAATTTTGTATTAATTATTGTAATGAAAAGCTTCAGCAGCTCTTCATCGAATTAACTCTCAAGTCTGAGCAAGAAGAGTATGAACGAGAAGAGATCAAGGTAAGTAATTTTGAGAATTTTTTGAAAACCGAAAAAAAGATCTTTTTACCAAAATTTCTAATGTAATTTATTTTCATTTCTTGATTAGTGGGAGCCAGTGGAGTACTTCAACAATCAGATTATCTGTGACTTGGTGGAGGAAAAATATAAAGGAATCATTTCTATATTGGTAAATAACAAATTAGAAATGAATTTTTACAATCAGAGAAAATTTTCATGGCCAATCTTTACTAATTTATTTTATTCTTTTCCCTCGTGTTTTCCATGATGTTTTTTCATGTTATCAAATTTGGCATCTTTGCCAATGTTTTCATGAAATCATCTCTTCAATATGAACATCTGAATAACAAATCATTTCACTACCATTGGAAATTTAATTGACACCTTTCCATTCAGGATGAAGAGTGTTTACGTCCAGGAGATGCAAGTGATATAACTTTCCTTCATAAACTTGAAGACACCGTTGGCGATCACCCACACTTTACTACCCACAACTTGGCTGACAATAAGCTTAAAAAAACCATCGGGCGAAATGTAAGTGGCCAAAATTGAAGTCTTTGTGAATTACTGATTAATTGTCGTTGTTGATACAATGATCTTGAGGCCCAGTTTTCCCCCTTCCTCTTTAGTACAGCAAAACATCCGAAATGAAAGGAAGGAAAGTAGCATAGATAAAAATAAAGTAGTTATGGTGGTGATGAAGATGAGAATGGGTGGAAAATAAGAAGTAAATTAACTGAAAGACGAGTAATGTGAGATGATGAATAATGAAAGAGAGGAGAGTTAATTTGAAGAGGATAAATTAATCTGATTTTTCTTGTTGTATTGCTGTTATTCAATGCACTTTTAATTTGATAATAATCACTTTTTCATCATCAAATATTGCACCATTTATTAGTAAACTGCCAAACAAAAATCATTAAAATAACGATAGTAATGATGATATAATTTGAACTTATTTTTTCATTGTTTACTATTTTTTATCTTTTCCATTTTTAGGAATTCCGATTAACTCACTATGCTGGTGAGGTTACCTACAAAGTTGATGGATTCTTGGATAAAAATAATGATTCATTGTACCGTGATCTAAAGAAAGCTATGTCAACATCAAATGATGTAATTATCAAGAAATTGTTTCCTGAAAGTGAGGTTCATTCAAAGAAAAGACCTGAAACAGCAATAACCCAATTCAAGAATAGTTTAAACAACTTAATGGAAACGCTTTTATCCAAAGAACCCTGGTATGTTCGATGTATCAAACCTAATGACCATAAGCGTCAAGGAATCTTCGATGAATCAATTGTTCGACATCAAGTTAAATATCTGGGTTTAATGGAAAACTTGCGAGTCCGAAGAGCTGGATTCGCCTATCGACGGAGTTATGATGTTTTCCTACAACGATACAAATGCCTTTCACAGGAAACTTGGCCTTTCTTCAAAGGTTCACCCAAAGAGGGTGTTGAAATTTTAGTCCGTCAGTTAGATTATAATCCAAATGAATATCGATTGGGTACAAGTAAAATTTTTATCCGTTTACCTCGAACTCTATTTGAGACAGAAGATGCTTTTCAAAAAAAGAAACACCAATTAGCTGCTTATATTCAAGCTCATGTTCGCGGTTACTTTCAACGTCAAAAGTATCATCAAATTAGACGGTCAGCATTATTAATTCAATCCTATTGGAGACGTGAACTTGCCATACGGTTATTAGCCAAACGAAGGAAAGCCGCCTTTATTATTAGAAAATTTATCAAGGGATTCATCACACGAAATCAAGAATTGAATGATTGTAACCGTGAGGTAAGTTCAATTTTATTTCATTATTGTCATCTTCAAATTTTCAATTGCACTAACAATTGACTTTGAATGTGAAAAGCAAAGTCAACCAACACTCACTGTGAATTAACATGAACTCATTTTATTTACCTTCAATCTTTTTTTCTCTTTCTCTCTCACTTTTCCATCACCTTCATTTATAACCAGTTTGTGATCAATGTCCGACGTGAATGGCTAGCTAGACTTGCCCATCAGCTACCTAAATCATTATTGGAAAGGACTTGGCCCACTCCTCCCTCTATTTGTGCAGAGGTTTGTAATTGAACAATTGAACGGCAATATTACCAAGAAGTGAGGAAAGAGCGCAAAAAATAACTTTAATCATTTAGCTAATTGTTGACCAATGCCGGCTGCTTTTTGTAGCTACTTTGGTCATCTCTTCATGCTCAGTAGTCTGTTATAGTTGAGTGATAGGTTAAACAATCAGCTGCCGGTCATTCTTCCCCAACCTCCCACTGCAAGACTTTACTAATTTTTATTTGTTTGCTGTTTTTTCCCTTCGTCTCAACAACCTGCATATATTGACCTTATTGTCTCTCGTCACTTGGTCTTTGCCCTCACCTTTCATCGCTAAATTTTTGGACCACCATTTAACTAAACCGTTGTTAAACTGGTAATAAACTTCTCACCTTTATCAATCATTTTCACAACCCAAAAATGTAACTTCAATCTTAAGGCTTCTATCATTTTGAGAGACTTACATACCAAATGGATGGTAAACAAATATTGGAAAAGTATAGACGAACAACGGAAAACATTAATGGAGGAAAAGGTTTTAGCGGAAAAGCTGTTCAAGGGACGAAAATCTAATTACCAAACAAGCATAGTTGAAGTTTTCCAACAATTAAGACCAAGTATGTAATTGTTACTTAAAGACAAAAGCCAAGTGTGATAAAATAGAGTCACTTGCTTAGCGCATGAAAAATGGTCAATTTTCTAGCCCAGTTTGCTGACCGTTTGGGCCGTGAAAACGTCAAGCTCATTTCCATCAGAGTGCGAAGTTTAAGCTGAAATTAAAAAATTGAAGCTATTGAATTAGTTACAAGCATTATCATGCCAATCATTCAAGTTTATCCTCATAGTTGCTCCTTCAGTTAACAAAAAAAATATGGCAACGTCTCTCATTAAGTTAATCATTATCTCGATTAAGAAGGCTGAAAAAAGGGCCGAGTTGAACTGAATGATGTCAAAGAAGACTTGAAAGGTTAGCTGAAAATGCTTGTTAATAAAAGTGAATTGGATTTACCAAAGAATTGAAAATTTTTGAAAATGATCAAGTTCAATAGCCTAAGGATTGTTTGCCTTTTTTTGGTTAACTTGTCAATCTTTTTGAAAATTTTTTCTTCAATAGGAAAAGTTGAAATTGCTTGAGAATGTCTCATGAATGGTGTTTAGTTCAGATCAGAATCCATAGTTTACTTGAATCTAAAACATTGTCAACCTTTTCTCTCAAAATTTCAGATTACTTTCATTAGTACGGAACAGTTGAATCTAATCATGATTTTGGAAAAATCTTCGAATGATTGATTTATATTTATATTTATTTTCTCCTGAATCATGATTAAGTTTACTTGATTGAACTTTTCAATTGTTGTTATTGTTTGCTATTGTGAGTTGATAATTTTGTTGCTATTCAAACAAACGGTTGATTGAAACTTGTTTACACAATTTACTTGGTTACAAATCGATAACATAAAATCTGATGTGAGAATTTCATTTTTTTATATTCTCTTCATTAATCCATTGTTCTTGAGGTGATATTTTGATCAGAGAATTTTTTCTAATCTTTCAAGCAAGTTAATCAAAATCCAGTTAAGTTCATCTTCCTCTTGTTTCAACCCATTGTTTCATTGTTCAGCCAAAATACTGTTTCCAAAGTTACACCGATTTCTGATTTCTTGAACCGATAATCATTAAACCAGCCAAATCTTCATCTTGAATATCAACTGATTTCAGATTAGTAATTTGATTAACAAAAAAGAGGTTGTTAATAATATAATCTTTATCATCAAAAAAGCCATTTGTTTTCCCATTGAGCTGTTAATGCTAAAAGTAGAGATTTTATGATTAAGGAGAAGCCAAAAAGTAGGAATGGTTGATTTGAATGAAATGATTCTAATCATCACAGCTATTATTATTACAATAAGCTTGATATAGTCAAGTCAACATGTATTTATATATTTGATTGTTTCAATAATCAGGTGAAAAATATTGTTAATAAACATCAAGTTCACCTAAATAGTGAGTAAATATGTTGACTCTATTATTATGATTATTAATTTACTGAGCCAATATTAGTAAATTGTAAGTTGACCTCAGTTTTTACGGTGACCGAGTAAATTACCCATCATAATGTCACCTTTTCATTTACTAATTTAACACTCCTTATTAACTTGCCATCCCCAATGGCGTAAATAATTAACGCTTAACTGTCCTTAATTTTTTTTGTTGTCAAATTATATATTTTTTGTTTTCATATTCAACTGTTGAACAAGATGATATTTAACATCCCGTAAACATCCTTTTTATTAGGTTAATTGATTCCGTCCTTAATCATCATAGAAACAAATCAACAGTTTTGCAGACTAATTTAAATTATTAACTTATGGATGATTTGTGTGTTGTTATTGTTAACAATTATCGACAATTCAAGGTTAACCCTGAACTGTATAATTTCATGATGATCTTGAAAGTGAAAAAATCATATTCATTTCAAATGATATTTTAGATTTATTAATGTGTTGAACAAAAATCAAAAGCTTACCATGAAATTTACTAGTAAAGTTGAAGGATAAAATTTACCTTGATAATGACAATTTCATCTCGTATTTACACTTTGAAGACAATTTTTGGCAACAAGAGCACAAATGACTCTGACTCAATGCTCATTGAACTCATCATCCCATAACCTATTAATAGTTGGATAATGATTATGTTGTAATGCTAATGATATAAAGGTATATCTAAACTTGTATCATTTGGATTAAGATTGTAAACATTAATGTTATAGATTAAATATTAATGTCAATGTATTAGGCATGGATTTGCCTTGAACATTAACAAGTGTACAAAAAATATAACTACATTTGCAGGATTTCACATGAGAGATGAGAGACTTTTTTTAGAGATTTTTCACCCGAAAAAAAGTCAACTCAATATAACCCATCTAAAGAAAGACAAATCTTTCTACTTTTTGGTACTTATTGGCAAAAAGCCTGAACTTTCTCCCTTTGTATTAATCATCATTATCATTTTGATTCTCATAATTTTACGAAGTCTTAGAAACTTGCTCAAGTTGACTTTCTCTGAATCATTTGATTATTTTATTCAAAACCTGAACACATTATTACTTTGAAAGATCTCTTCATTTCTGGTAAAGGCAATTTTTGAAGGTTCAAAAATCTAATTCTGTTTGTTCATCAATCAGTTAACCTTTTTGAGTTTGAAAAAATAAGCCCAACGGAATGATCAATGAATATATCATGGCTAGATTAACAGCTAAATCATCATCCTGCTATTTACATGATTTACAATCTTATCCTTGATAGTTTACCATTCAATTTGTATTAGTAATAATTTTACTTAATCTTTTTCAACAGTTAACCTATTAATAATGAATGAGGAAAAGCAAATGAATTGCTCGATTTCAATGAAAACCTTTCATATTAATTAAATCATTACTTTATCTCAAAGTGATCAACTAATATCATCATAGCTGATGACAACTGTGAGATGAAATATTTTAAGAGACTGTTACTTTGTCAATTGATTGCCAAAAAGTTGACTAAAGCTTCTTGACGATATTTCAAGATTAAAAGGTTCATTTAGGAGGACAGAAAAATTGAATAAAATAAGCTTTATGAATATTAATTGTGCAAAGCAATGACTGGTTAAATGGTTAAACTCATTGACTTAAAATATTTACTTTAACATTGTATTGAACTATTGACTAATTTACTTTCTTTGTTTTCCCCTTAATAGATGATCATTTGGATTCTCAAACTCTTGAAATGTTTACCCATGAATTGAAACAATCAAAAGATGAAGAAACTGTTTACGCCGCTGGTTTAATCAAATATGATCGTAATGGTTACAAACCTCGCCATCGAGATCTTATACTGACAAACAAAGCTTTATACATATTGAGCTGGGAAAAAAAGTGGAAACTTAAACATCGAATACCTTATAAGAAAATTTCTTCTCTTCATGTCACCGATCTTTCCGATGGACTGATTGTTGTTAAATTTCCTATCGATTCGAAAGAGGATAAGGTTTCGTATCTTTCCTGGCTCATATTTCCCGTTTCCTATTTGGTTTTCAATTTTTACCTTCAAACTTCAATCTAATCTCTCAAGCAAACTCAATCAATTTGTTTTCCTCTAAACACATCCGATCAAGATTGATTCATTTGCTCTCTTCATCACTAATAGTTGACTTGGATTGAAGTCTCCAGGTGAAACAAATGATTCACTGATGAAAGAGTTGATCATTTCATTCCCTGAAGTCGTCCTCTTGATAATTATGGTCCATCTTGTATCAAGTATTTACTGATATCTAGTTATGTGAAACTTGTTCAACTTCACTATGATATCAATTGCTGCAATGATTAGGAAGCTTTTTAATGACTCTGTGAGATTTGTATCTCTTTCAACAACTAGAAATATATTATTAGGCTGAATAATTGGATGATTAACCTTTGAATTGATTCAGCTCTATTTTTTGGTTCATTATGTTGAATATTTTCCTATTTTCTCTGCCATTTTACAATATTTTATGATGACTTTTCAATTTACTATGATTTGATTGGTATTTAACTGTTTTTAAGCAACCTTTTGTAACCATTTTATTTGTCTAGCTAGTTTTTATCATTTACTTGATCAGTTTAACATCCAGAATATTTGAATATTCATAGAATTTAGTTTTTAGATAAATTGCTATTCCTCATCTTTTGCTGTCTGGTTAGTTAGATAATAATCATCGTATCTCATTTCAAGATTTCAGCATTCAAATATCAGAAAATTACTTGATCTCGATTACCATATCTAAATAGATCTGGAAATTATCCAAAAGTGTGAAGCTCAAGATTTCCATTGCTAGCCATTAATCGTATCAAACAAAATTAACAATCAGCTTTAATTTCTCATTGCAGTTTTATCAAATTAGAATCATGTTTCTTTGTTTTTCTTGGGTTCAGATTGAAAAGATTGAAGAAATTAAGTTAACATTGAAACAAATTTCTTTCAAATTGTCTCTTATTCTCATTTTAAAATTTTTATTTTCTATTGCAGGGTGATCTCATTCTAGATTGTGGATCCAATATAATTGAAATTTGTACCAAAATAGTCAAAGTATCCGGTCTGGATAATAATGTGCTCAAAATTGAGTCATCTGGAAGGTAAAGTGAATCTATTATGAATAAAATTTGTACAGCTTTTCAAAATCAATTTGATGCACAAATATGTGTGAATGCATTTGCTTTTGAAAAGTCAATGTTTTTATATTAATTTTTCATAATTAAACTAATCAATTATTTATTTTTTTGTAGCATGAATCATGAGCATAATGGTAAACAGGGTAGAATCTGTTTTGTACAAGGAGACAAGAATGAAATAATCAAAGGAAAGGACGGCTCTTTACTGGTGATCGGTTCTTTCAATTCATACCACTGAAACCAGAAACATGTTCAAATGTACTATTCATTTTTTATCATCGCCTTGCTTCCATGGATTGACAGACTTTGATGATAGATATTATCTCCATTCTGTTTGTTCTTTGTATGGTCTCTACGATTTAAAACAAACAATAATAAGAAACAAAGTCAAAAATCAAAATCAGTGAAATTACTGACCCATAAAACTATTGTCTAATTATTTGTAATAATGGATGAACATCTCTTCGATCCATTGCACGTATAACTCTAGTTGTTACCATTTTTAAGAGCTACAAAATAACTAACTATATATTTAAGAAATTAAGACAAAAACAAAAAATGAATCTAAGTTGTTTAATGTGAAAATCACCCAATCGCCGAGTTTTCTAAGTAAATCGTGTTTTGTGAAAACCTATTATTGGATCAAATGAAGTCATACATTAACTTTTAATCAAAGTTATGTTCAGACTGAAAATTTGAAGTTTATTTAGTTATGATAAGTTTTCATAAGATAGTACCCGGAATAACTCAAAGCCATTGGTTAATGTTAAATGAATTTCCGGAATGTCAAGACTTTCCTGTGTAGGAAATTGAGATTTCATAGATAAATCCAACTGAAAGGTTTGAAATTTGAATATCGATTGTCGCACAGATGGTTCTTTCGATCGGATTAATATTGAGTTTTCGAAATTGCCAAAGCTTTTCTGATATTATCTAACGAGAAAACTAGTGACAAATATTTGAAAAGAAATATTAATATACTTATTGAATGAAATATGCATTACCAACTATTAAAATAACAAATTGCAGCACGAATGGTTCGCATGAGATTTGTAAAAGTCGCAAAATTGAGTATGAAAGAGTAGCTAAGAATATAAATTTCTAGCTATCAAATTTATTTCGTTGGACAATTATTAATATGTTAATTTTTCATCGAGCTAGTTGTTGCTTGTAGATAATTCTCAATTAAAGCTAAAGATTGAATCCATCCAATAAAAACAAAACAGGGACCAAAAGCATTCAGTAAATGGATAGATGTTCCTAGAAGTTAAGAGAATATTAGTTTATTAGGCTAAATGAATCCGTTCATGAATCATTATGGAAACAGACAGTGAGTTAGTAGACTCATTCAGATCACTATTACATTAGAAATTCCCAAGTTGTCGTTCATTTTTCAACGTTCCCTAATTAAGGATGAGTTAAAGCTAATTCGAATTTCATCCCAATTTCCTTTCGTAAGACATTTATAAAAAAACTCATGAAATCAGTCAACAATTATAATTTAATCTAAAAATGTTCTATCAAGGTAGATTGAAAAAGGTGAAATAACATTGCCCAAAATAGTTTAAATTACACAGTGAAGCAATTCTCAGAGAGCGACAACTTTGGAATCTTGACTGTAATTATGACTCGGGCTCCTAGAAATTCATTTTTTATCTTCGCCTTGCTTCCATGGATAGGTAGACTTTGGTGATAAATCTTCTCTCCATCTTGTTTGCTCTTTGTATGGTCTCTATAATTGAAAACAAATAATAATAATCATCATCAATTCATACATTAAAATCAGCAATATGTATACAAGTTAAATTACTTACCCCATAAAACCATTGTCTAATTACTTGTAATAAAGGATGAACGTCCCTTCTATCCATTGCACGTAAAACTCTAGTTGATGTTACCATTTTGAAGAGCTATTAAACAGCTAACTATTCAATAAGGAACTTGAAACAATTAACAAAAAAAGAAATCCAAACAAAATTAAACACCAATCAGGGTTTGTTTTGAATGTCAACGAGACTGGATTAGAAGATATTCAGTATCCGATATTGAACAATATTTATCGAATATATCGATATTTTTAATTCGATGTATCGGTAAAGAAGGCAGATAATTAAGGCTTGTCATTTTGTGTTGCAGAATCTTTTGACTCTATTCAGCTCAGCAATAACATCTAAACATACAATCATCTCTTGGTTTAATATTTATTTTTTGGTTAAATTAAATCTCTTTAGATTTTTATATTTTGCTTTTATTTATGTGTACAATCAGATGAATGGATGAACATCGAATTGATCCCGACGAGGAGCGTCGGACAATCGTGGAAAGATATACAAAGGGCAGAGAAAAGGTAAGATAGATTTTATGTTTTGATGAATGTACTCATATTTAACATAATATGCTTAATAAATTTTACCTTTCCAATCTTGTTAAGTCTAGTCTTTTCATCCTCTTTTTTGTTTCTATTTTATTTTAGCAGATTTAGACATTATTGATTGTTAGTTAATTTGTAACTTCTTTTGTGACATCATTCTATTAACTCGTCTCTCACCTGTTTTACTTTAATTTGTCATTAAATCAACTTCCTTATCTTTAGTATTAAAATCACCGCTTAACTCGTTTTCAGATCTTTATACTGTTTTACTGGATATTTAAATGTTCCTGTATCTTCATTATTGTAAGCTAATTTATCAGTGATATCTTGTTTTTGAATCTATTATATACAGATTCGTGATCAAATTGGTGATTGGGAAGACCCACAAAACCTGGTCCTTTTCACGGACCGTTATGGATTCATCCAGTGAGTTATTGTGGACTAGTTTACTGTTCTTAAAATTGCCCTTGGCTTTATTAACGGACTCATGCCCCTTGGCATTGTTTAATTCATGTTTTTTTGATTACTCTTTATCCTAACATCTTTCATAACTTCTCTTACTAAATCACTATTCTCTTTTTTCTTCATTCCCTTCTATTTCCAATCAACAGTGATCAACAGCTTCCACCTCGTTTAAGTAAACATGAAGCAAAGGTAATGAATTGATTTATTCCTCTAATTTGTTTTTTCATTCATTGCAGTATTTTATGCCTGTTACATTTCATTGGATAACTCATCATGATTACCCCAATGTTTTTTTATGCCTCATATTAATCTTTTGTGTTTTTTGTTTCATCTTTTAAATAGGTTAGACAAAAGGAAATTTCCCGGACTAGTAAATGGCTCAAAATGCTCGAGCAATGGGACAAATATTTTCCAAACTCAGAAAAATTAAGAAAAAGAGTGTACAAAGGTATACCGAATTCTCTTCGTGGTGAAGTATGGACCAGGTTAATGGAAGTACCTCAAGTGAAAAAAGAGCAAGAAGGTAGATTTATCTCTACTAATCATCTTTATTCTGATCCAATGTTCTACCTCCTCAAACTAAACGAAATTTTCGTTCATACCAAACAGCCTTTAGTAAACCTAAAAAGATATTATCTCAATGCTGAATTTTAATTAGGGTTAATTTTCTATCGAGTTTATCTATGATTAGTGATCACTAGTACAACAGCAATTTTATAATTGAAGGTGTTTGAATCAAATGACAAATACCATCATATCTGTTGATACCATTGTCAGATAATTCATTATCGTTTTATTTTATGTTTGCTAAATTACCTCTGCCCTGCAGTTTTTATACTGTCTATGGAACGCTTCATTTGGCAATGGTATCAGAGATGAATGGAAACTAGAGAAATGAGATTATGAAAGAAGAAATATATTGCGTGTATTTTTAGCCTTGAATCTAGACTTCACTAGTTCCATTTGTTAATGAAAACAGGAATTATCTTTTCGAGATTAGTTAACAATTTCGTTTTCCCATACATTTTCATTCCTTATAACAATAAGTAAATTTTGTGTTGTAATTTTTTCTTACTATTTGTATTTCAACAGGTCGTTACCAAGAACTTCTTGACTATGGACTCTACAACTCCAAAGATATTAGACAAATCGATTTAGATATCAACCGAACTTTCAGAAATAATGATATGTTCAGAGACAGATTCAATGCAAAACAACAAGAATTATTCAGAATACTGGTTGCCTACAGTGTATACAATAAGGTAACACAATGTTTAATTTAAAATTATCTCCTTTCAAAATTTCCCTCTCGTTTGTTTTTTTGTTTATTTTAACAACCTTTTAACAAAACAAACAGCAATTAATTTCTGTGCTAAACCTTGTTTACTAATAATTTCATTTTTTTCGTCACTTTTTTAACATCCAGGAGATTGGTTATACTCAAGGAATGTCTCAGATTGCTGCCCTTCTGTTGATGTACACTTCAAATGAAGAAGTAAGATTATTGAAATTGTACATAAACTTTAGTTTGAATTAGAGACAAATTTTCTTAACTGTTTTTTATCATTCAAATTCAGTTTAGATTTCTTTTGGTCTATTTTTACGTTTAACCGTTTGTTTTTATTTTAAAAATCCCTATTCGATATCATCATCTATTATTAACCTTAAATGTCAGTCTACTTAAAACCATTAATCATTTCTTCAAACATTCGTTTGGTACTTTTTATCTTGCGAACTTGACCTCATAATTTTGAAAATACATAATACAACTAAACTTATTTTTTCTATTCTTACGTATTACTAATTGAATCTTTTTACATCATATTTTGTTGTCAATATTATCGTTTTGGTGTATAACAGGATGCATTCTGGTCATTAGATCGTCTCATGTCAGGAGAGAAATATGCTATGCATGGTAAGCAAAAGCATTTAATCAAATTTTCCATACAAATCAAAGTCAATTATATATTGGATAATGCAACTTGAACTATTTTATTAACCACACTAATAATTGAACTATTTTTCCTTTATGTTCTCCAATATTTAGGTTTTTTCATTGACGGTTTTCCTAAATTGCAGCGATTTGCTGATCATCACGATAAAATTCTGAAAAAATTCCTCCCACGAGTCTATAAGCATTTCAAAGTAAGCCTCTTTAACAATTCCATTTTCTTATACCGATTATCATGATAATCATCAAATTATCATGATCATCAATGTCCTTGTTATCTTAATTATTACCACTATTATTACTGTCATTAATTTGTAATTTTAATCTTTCTTCTTCTTTCACCCTTTCTACCAGAAATTTGACATAAATGCTACTTTATATACTCTTAAATGGTTTTTCCAATGTTTTCTCGACCGAGTCCCTTTCTCGTTAACATTAAGGTAGTTACCATGAACTGCTCTGATTGAGGCATTCAATTTCATCGATGTCTATCTTTCTTTCTATTTCTCTTTCTCTCCTTAACTCATCATAACCCTTCTGTATCACAGGATTTGGGACTGCTTCATGTTAGATGGCGAGATGATACTTACCTGTTTTAGTTACACTCTTCTTAAATTACACAAAAGTAAGGAACTTGTTTGATCAAAAACTGTTTTTAATCGATTTACTTTTAACCTGAAGTTAACTCTTAACTTTTAATTTGAATTGATGCCGATTTCTGTATAATTGCAATTTTTTGTGTAATTTGTGTGATGTGTGTGTTGTACCAATTCAACTCGTTGATTGTTTTAAACTTAACTCAAAAAATCTAAAACATGTCACCATTTAGGTATTTTTTACTATTTTTGTTTTTGCTCAATTTCTTGTGTAATTTCTTCGGTTTAGTTGATAGCAATACTTTGTAGGCTCATTTTTCAAAAAAACGGTGAAACTTTTCTGTTTAGTGTTTGATTTGTGTAAAAGTGTGAGTTTACTCATTGAGATTGGTAAACAGCCAAAAATTTATCGTAATTGAGTCCAAATTTTAATACAATGACTTGTCCAATGCTAAATTTTAACATCTACTTTCTCAATCCTTTTACAGGATCCATTCTCGACAAGAGCATGGAAGATTTAATATCATTCCTTCAAATAGATTTGGAAAAGGATTTTGGATACTTGGATGACCAAGCGATCCGAGAACTTCAAATTGCTATAAATGAATTGAGGTATTTTCATCTAATGTCCTTCTTTGATTATTGAAATCGGATAATAACTTTATTCGTTTGTGAATCTTTGTTCTTCAGAAAACAAAAAATGGAGTCACCCGCAAAAACAAATACAGATGCCGAGAAGCCAACCAGACCGTTCGGCATGCTGTTACAAGCCGATAATGTATCAATAATGACCGGAACCGATGATAGAAGCATCGCTGGCAGTATTAATTTGAAAAATTCTGATTCAGTTTCGTTGGCTCAAACTTCTAGAACTAGTAGTGAAGTGGATCAAAATGAACTGGAAAACACTGAGCTGGATGAGTATGTTTCAAAATGAGCTTGAAAAGCTCGTCCTTTGAAGATATTTGTAGCAAGCTTAGAAAACCAAGACCAAAGAAAAGATTTATATTGAGCTGATCTTTAATGGTTCAAAACAAATTTTTCAACAATTTAGTGTTGTATATCTTTATCATCACCAGTCGATCATCAACATCATCATTTCAGTACATATCAATTAAACAAACCGGCTTATCGTTCTTCTTCATCGCCGTATATTGCAAGGTCTTGAAAAGAGAGGAAGAAAGAGAGGAAAAGCAATGAATTTCTTATTCTGCAATATATATTTGAGAGAAACTGAAAGAACATGAAGATAAAGCTGAAGGAGAAGATAATTAATCTAGCAAGAGTTCATTTAAGTTTTATAGGTGTTGAACTACAATTTTTGAAAGATGAACTTCATCACAACTTGATACTGATTTTGTATACACATCTGTAGAGTTCAACCTTTGCTTACACGTCAAGTTGTTTTTTGTCTCTTCAATTTAAGTGAAACTGAATCAAGTAATGCAAAAAAGTCCATTTATATCATTAGTTTAAGTTTTATTGCAGACTTGATGATAAACATTGAATGTAATTTCGACTTAAGTAAAAAGATGCTTGGATATTATGATCAAACTTTAATCTTTTAATTTATTATCTTGTTCGATGCTGTTTAATCTCATACAATTAATCAATCATACTAATCCTTTTTTTCTCTTTCTTTTTAGCGTTGAAGTCAACGATTTCTGTAAAATTCAAAGATCTTGCTCTATTTATGATAATGTAGATATCAATGAAAGCATCGAAGCTGCCAAGAGGTTGAGTGAATTAACAACAAACTCAGATCAACGTGGTTTTTTCAAATTGCAAATAACTTTAAGCTAGCCAACTCATGTTAACTGTTTGCGAATCCCAGCACCAGCAACTACAAAAAATGGGCGACAACACTTTCTTTTTCCTATAAAAACGTCATCGCTATACCATACGCTTCATACCAAATATTAAACACCAAACCATCAAATCAATCGTTATCGGATCAGTTATATTTCTAAAGGAAATTAAACATCACTCATACTCTGCCAATAATGATAAAGAAACTAAACGAATAATCAATTTATAAAAGTGTAACTCACAAAAAATTATATAGATAATAAGCTCATGAATACATCCCCAGCAATTAAAAGAAGAAACAAAACAAATCAAGAAATAATATTCTGAGAAAGCAAAAATGATAATAACTAGATTTAAATATTTTTTAATTTCTCCTAGACTATTGTTAATCTTATATCATGTTTATCATGGTTCCTTCAATGCGGAGAAAAACCAAAGATCTTTTGAAAGTGCAAAAATTCAAACTCCAATAACTTCAGTTTTGAGTTCAAGCAAATAACCAATTTGTGTACGTCAAAAATTATTCAGTTTCAAGATGTGCGGTTTATTAAATCCGATTTAAAGTGTATTTTTGATTGGGTGAGAAAGACAATCAATATCTAATGGCTTGAATGGCTGGATAATTAAAATGGGTGGCCTGGTTTTAAAGCGATCAAGGATTGAGCGGATATCTGCTTTTTGATGTCCCACAGAATTCAAGAATTGGTGAAAATGGTCGTTCAATAAATTCAATTCAATCATTAAGGAGATGAACTTGAATTGCTTGTTCAAAAAATGTCAGTGATTAACGGTCCAAAAATCAAAATTGATCAAGTTAATTGTAATTTGGTTGTAAAGATTGAAGTGAAAATGGAAACAAATGATCTTTTCCTCAACAAAAAAAGACTGTGTTAATTTTTCCATTAACATTTACTCATCATCTTTTACTGTTTGTTAAATAATTCACCCGATAATTTAATCAACCATTGTTTATTGATTTCATCCAAGTAGATCACATTTAATTAAATAATTTATTATAATTTCAATTTTTGCAATTTTGAATGAACACTGTCAAATACAATTAAATCTTTGGTTTTTTCATCGTAAATGCTAGACAGTTTTATTTCAACCGATTGACTTTAGGATTGTGATTGACGGGTTCGCTCTGGAAAGTATCTTGAGATTCAACGAAAAAATAAAATTAATAATTATCTGAATAACAGCATTAAAGGATCAAGTTCAATAGTCAGTCTTTTCCTGGTGAAGATAAAAGTGGAAATGTTAAACACAGGAATCAATCTCTTCTTGATATCTAAGGGATAGATAATCGGCAGCATCGGCAAACTGGTGAAGTATCGTATGAAGTGCTTGTAAATGTTGCCGAAATGCTTGAGCTAGGTGAACAGTTGTATCATCCAATTCTTTATCTCGAGCATAAGAATCAACCTCATAATCAGTTTCAAAATCAGATGACGATGAAGTGTTAGAACATATTGAGCCAAGAGATCCATCTGAAGGTTGGCGACTATGTTTGCCAGATACTTTACCAAAAGCTCCTCCACCAGTTAATAAGGTTACTCCTAAAGAAGCAGATAATCGGTTGCTACCAACAGTACTTGATTTATCTCTAACAGGAGTACAACATTCATCTACAGTAACATGGTTTAAAGGTGCAATACTCGAAGGTCCCCAAAGTAGGTCCTCTTTCACATCATTCAACATTACGTAGAAGCTATACAAATCGACGTTTAATAAACAGGGTGGAATTGAACCAGTTTGCCTGAGTATTTTATTACCAACAACATCCATGTCTTTCAACTTGGAAGGCACCAGCACTGTAGAGTTCATCTTGTTGACCGATTTAACAAACCTATCCATAATGAGAATAGATGATTTAAACAATTAATTAATAACACATTAGTAACATCAAAATAAAATTGTCAAACTGTAAAATAATCTGATGATTCGTAGAGTTCAAAACAGTACAGACATCTATTATCCATTTTTGTCATAGTTGAGATGTCGTGGCTAAAATTCAACAAATCAAGTTGATTGTCTTTAGGAAAATTAATTGATAAAAGAGATACAATGCAATGTAATTTAAAGAATCTAAATTACACAGCTAATTGCGATCTTTGTACTATTCGAGTCAAATTTAATTCATGTTTATAAAGCCATACTGACTGCTTTCATATACCTTAAGATTGAAGCTAATACGCACTTCAATCCAAAATACATGAAATGAAAAGTTCAATCGTATTTTAATTTTATCCCTTTAAAATGTCAAATTAAAAGAGTGACAATAAGCAAAATGACCAGAAAAATTGAATATTGAATAAAAACTGAAACCGATTTGGATGATATTGAGATTTAATAAACTTAACATGTAAACATTGAAAACATAACAATAATGATCTGGTTTTGAATTAAAAGTCTAAAAATGGTTGATCATAGAGATGTAATTGTTCACTCCAATCTGTAAAATTTAAAACAGATAAATAAAATTAGTTTTTAAATAAATGTGAAATCAGTTACATACCTGACTCGATGAATTATTTCAAGATTTCTGAGAGTCCAACCACAAAATCATGGAACAATAAAAACATGAAAAAATATTAGTGAATTAACATTAAATTTAGCATTATCGTTTAAATGGAATGGTCACAAAACAAAAGACCAAAAAATGGAATTTAAATTGATACTCCAACTCAAGCCAGCCTGAGATAGTTTATAAATTATGATTTCTAAAATATTTAAAAATTGAACATTTTAAGAGTTTTTCTCAGAAAATAGTTCAATATTAAAATGAATCAACTTGACCGCGTTTGAGCTAAAAAAAATGAGTATTTAATCTTGACTAGTACTGATAAAATCTAACAATTTTAAGTAAAAAATGAATCTCGATTGTAAATGAGTATTGAAAATTGTAGTTACAATAAAATTGTAATCACACACACAATGGCAACCATAAATGAGACATTTTTTTGAAGCCAACTTAAATCACCTGAATTATAAGATTCAGTTACCGATTCAGTTACGGATTCAGTTACCTTAACGGGTAAAACATTTTCTTTGAATCTTCCCAAATAATTTCCCGCAGGATTGTAATTGCAGACAATAAAAGTTCCCCTTGAGCTTGAGCTTTTACCAATTCCAAGTTGCTTTGAACCTTTCCAGATGACCTGAGTAAAATGTCCTAAGGTTGGCCCAAAGTAAGATAAAAGTAAAGTTAAGATGAAGAAGTAAAAGACGCTTTCTGGTTACTTACCAGTTCCACTTTTAAAAGTTGCCTGATCATAACTGTACATTGATATTTCATCGTACCAAGCCTTAACTGGAGTTTCACCTGTAAACATGAAAATGGTAATTGATGAATGCTCAGAACATTGAGCAAGAAAATATGAACTTACCATCGATATCAGACAAAGATATCCAGTAAATGTTTTCCCCATATTTATTATTGGGTCGATGAGATATGCTTCCAACTGAGGCTAAATGGTCGGCCCAATCTTGTGCCACTTCACTCAGCTAATGTAATTTGTTTAATGGTTGAAAAGGTTGTTGGATTATTGAAGTTAATGGACAAAAAGACTTACCTTGCTATCGATTGTCAGTGGTTCAACTCCGTGAAGTGATCGATAATAATTGTGTTTCTTCAAACATTCAGCGTCAAAGGTTGCTCGATCACCACTAGTTTTTGTCTTTGATTCAGTCGAATCGGCCCAATCAATTGACCAATCAATATCAGAGTAAAACTCTCTTTTATTGACAAGTCTTGACTCATTTCCAGTCGCTACAAGATTGGAAATAGAAGTTGATCAAAAATGAAAGATTATTAAATGTTAGTCTAATTACCATGTTGGTTGAGGCTTTGAACCATTGTTCGAGTCTCTCCATCTTCAATTATAAGGACTAGGATAAAGATGAATCCAAGGCAGGTTGAAATAGACTTGAACATGATGAGTTGACAGAAGCTTGGAAACAATTGATTACTTGAAAAGCAAATTACAGTTTGATCTTCCAGAGCAATTTTCAGCTTAAAAATGTTTTCCAGTTTTATCATTGACAATAACAGTTCATGATAAGCAGCTGAAATGGCTAAATATGGCAAATTTTAGATAAAAATATCACTTTAAAAGGTAAATTGATAGGTAAACCATATGTAATGTTTTATACTTATTTAGATGGTTTTAAATCAAACACGATTTGTAATCGATACTGAAAAACAATCAAAGCTTCATCAAGATATTAGAATCAGCAGAATTGAATCAGAACTCTCTCAAGATCAAATGGAAGCTACAATGATGACTTATTAAAGATGATTTTCTTGTCAAAAATTTTAAATTTAATCGAAGATATTCAAATATGAACAGGATTTATTCGGAAGAACGAAAAAGATTCAAATAGATTATGAAATTCAACAGTTTCCTTTTCAAAAAAATGTATTGATATAAAATTAGAACCATGTTCATTTATTCAATAAAATCAGTCCATGGTAAAATACAAATCGTCCTTTTAAGGTTTACAATTGATCAATGATTAAGAAGATAACAGCTTCGCTTTTGACTGATATTGTCAGATTATGGTCGAGTTGTGTGTGCTTGAATTGAAATAACATTAATTTGAAGTCTAATCATAAAGTGCCTAGCAATTGTCTCCAGGTCATTTAATCGAAAAAACATGAAAAAAACAAATGAAATGAAAATTAGCAGAAATACAGAACCAAAAAATGTAAATTTTCGACTTATTTTTTCGACTTTCTCTCGTCTATTTGCCGATCAATTGCTTTCATAATATGATCTTACAGTTAAGGATTTGAATCTTAAATTTAAACCTTTTGTCTATTTTTATCTGCTCGTGACGATTGTCCAATTTTTGTTTTTTGTCTCAACCTGAAATGAAATTCTGATGGCTTCAGTTAAGTGGTCCATATTCAATGGAATGACCCTTCAAGGAAAACAAAACAAACCAATAAACGAAAATACATTTGGAAATAAGTTCAACTGAAAATGTACAATGATTCTAATGATAACTCTGATGGATCATTCATGACCAATATTAGTATTGATCCAACATTGTCTTTCAGTTTGTAAAATCAAATCTTGAGTAAATGATGATGGCATTTACATGATGAAATTTGATGGACCGAAAATTGAGCCAACTTGGTCCATGAAATGATTAAAAAACTCTCATTGATAAACATTAGACTCAGACAAGAGCCAAATGATTTTCATCTAAAAGCTCAAGAACAATTCAAGTTACGTGATGAAATTAGATTCAACATCATTCAATACGTTCTTCCCGTAATCGACCAAGATGATGTTGATATTGAGCGAAAAGTCAAACCTTCGTTTAACCTGCATTCCATTTAAATGGACATTTTTGAATCAATGATGGATAAAACCAGAAATGGAATCATCAACAGAATTGAAATGTTTGAATTGATGGATTAAAGTTTAAACGGTAAAATCAACAAAATTTGGATTCGATCGTTTTGTATCATTTGGCAAATGCAAAGGCAAACTTTTTTGTCTAAATTTGAACATTTGGATTCTGCTAAAACCTGATCAATTGACTGAACAAATGATTCATTAAATGGATGGAAATTTATTATTCATTTATTTTTCGTCGTAACTCAGTCAGTTATTTTGTCAATCAATTGAGTTATGAACGATTTTGACTTGATTTTTGAGGTCACTTCGAGTGATTCCTTGACTAATCAACGCCAAAATGAATCTCAATTTTAGAGAAAAGTTCTTTACTCTCAGCTTATCCAATTTCAAAGTTGAACTTATTTATTTTCCTTCCCTGTCTTATCATCTGCTCTGTTTCTTCACTTTACTGTATTGCTTATCATCTTCAGGGAAATATCATTGTTACCATTCCAAACCATTTCACGGAAAGAATCATGATTCAAACTAAATTGAATTCTTCTTAATTAGGTTTACCATGGAATGAGATGGATCAAAAAGGAAACTGAGCCAATGGAATGGTAAAAAATGAAGAGAAAAATGAAAAGAAAGAGAAGAGTGTAAAAACGAATTTTTTCAAAGCTCGAAATTTTTGACCTTCTTTTATCCACTTTTCCAGCATTTTATATTTTACGCCCAGTTTGGTTACCCATTTGGTGAGGACAAATAAAGTTGAAGGAATCATGCGAGCTGAAAGTGAAACAATACTGAATTACATGGTGAGTGGAAACATGGAAAAAGCAAAATAAATAAGATTAAAGTAATATCAAGACAAATGATATTGAATTAAATCACTTGAACAAGAAAAAATGAGTTATCAGTTTTTATTTTTCCGTTTCTTTTCAATCAGTCATCATTGACATGCATTTATCATTTGCTCTGAATCATTCATTTTATCACTTGCAATACAAATTCAATTTAAACCATTTGCAATCACATTTTAAGCTGTAAAGGAGTAAAGCCGAATATTTTCAGATGAAACTTTTTAAAATTCAAGTTCAATTTGTTGCATCACTACGCAAGTTACGCATTTACTTATTATTGTTCAACCCATTCTTGTATTAATATAAATAAAACTGAACTTATAAAAACCATTCAATTATCAAATATTCGTCTATCAACCCTGAGTTTGAAGGTTTACACAGTAGATGGCATTTATAGTCTGTATGAGTGATTTCAAGGTTTTGTTTAAGCCATAAATGTTAACATGATGCATTAGTCTTCATGTATTTATCTGGTTAAGACAATTAGATATTCAAATGAGTAACAACAAAATCGAAACAGCGAAAAGTCTGTATGTGTCTGAATAACGGCATATTTGTCGATTTATGATTTTTATCGTCTTTGAAATGCTATAAAGTTTATGATAATTATTTGAATAAACTAAAAAGAGTTGCATGAACGATAGGTGAGACCTTTGCGAGCGCCCACTTTGCCAAGTTTTACTATATCTCGAGAACTTTGACTTTGACCTTTTCGCTTATGTTATTGTTTTAATTATACATAAATTAATGACAGTAACTCGAAGTAGCTTATTCGTACTATTCGCCGGACAATTTCGTTTTTGCGTCTGTTGATCGTTTTCTCAGTCCATTTATTGTTGCTTCAAATCTAATATTTTCACTAGTTATTCTAGAAATTGTTGATGGATTGACTGAATTTTTGGACGCAATCAAGGACTGTTTTTCACCGTTTTCAATCTGTTTTATTATACATTTATACATGTATTACATTTACTTGACACAGTTAATTTACCTATGATTTCACTGAGATTATAATATCCTTCAGTGTTTAATTTATGTCCATAGATGAGACTGAGAAAGAAGGGTTGCTTTAACCGGGTACTCGACAGTAAAATGATATTCACATAAATCGGTTCCGCAGGCTTGAGAAACAAAAAAGTTTCCTTTGACTAAAAGCATGAGTTTGTTCCAACTGGATTGTATGTGATATCGAAATTCTCTTCCTTCTGTAATCTATACAAAAAATCAACACAGGCATTTTTTCTAGCCATGTTAGAAGGAAGAAGTAAAAAGAATTTCTCAGCGCAAATACACTCCAAAATGTTATTGATCTGAACACAAAGATCTAATGCACTAGAACTTTGCTAAATGATTTCGTTAAATTTCAGCTTCGAATCTAAGTTAGTCAACTTTTTTGAATTTTATCATCATGATAATTTTTCAGAACATGTTAGTACTACTACTCAGTGTAGCCATAGGTGAAACTATGTTGGTGCAACCATTATTTACCATACCCTTGAATGGAGAGAAAGCGCGTCAGGTTTGGGTTAATAATAACAAAATGGAAAGACTTATAATAAATATACACATGAAAGTGATTGAAATATCAGCAAGATTTTTGATAATTTTGACATTTTTTCTGCACTGAATCTGAATCTTGTCTGCGTTTTGTTTAGATGAAACAAGATCTGGTTCGTTATCGACATCATAATAAATGTCGCAAATACAAACTCCCTACCAAAAGGATTTGTTTTTGCCTGGCAAAGGCTCCCCAAACTTGATTGTTTGTAAAAAATAGTATCAACATGCATAAGATATGTAAAAATAAAATAATTACATCATCGTATCAGCATATTTCGGATTCAATGTTATTCGTTCATTTTCAATGTGTTTTATAAAATTGATCATTACATCAAAAGGTAATGGTAACTGAATGGTAACTAGCTATTGGACAATTGAAAAAAATATGAAAACTATTCAATTAAGTTTCCAGGTTTTTTAACTTTCTTACTTTTTTGGGGTTGGCTCATCTAACTTGACCATCAACAGCTCTTAATTTGTAACCATTTCTGCAATAATGCCTACAAGTCAATGTCTTAGACTAAATCTAGATCAAGTCTTAGACTCTAACAACAGTAAATTAATGATCCAAATTTTGTGCAATTGATTGAAGGCGAAACACGATTCTGAGCAAAGTCAAAAGTCTAACCATTTCATCCCTCGAGTAATTTTTCACAGCACATTCAGGTTGCTTATTCAAGTTTCACTGTTGGGATCAAGATTACCATTGGCAGGACAAAACATTGTTTCAAATATAAAAAAGTGACTCTCTTTAATTACCAAAACATCAATTAATTTTGATCGTCACTCACAGCCTTATAAAGGCAACACTCTGGTAAAAACAACCAATTGTCTTGCCTTTTTACTGTCAACACCAACCTCATCAAATGTTTAGTTATCAGCACTACAAGTTAATTAATCATTTGATTAGTAAACTTTTTTTGTTTCATTTACTCACATTTTGCTTACCTTTAAAAAAACAATTCACACTGAACATCAATATTCCTATCAAGTTATCTTTTCATTTTCACCATCTTAGCCTGGTTTCACCTTCATCACTTTGTATTTAATTTATTCCAATGTGTGTTCAGTTGAGAGTTGAACAAATCAACAAAATGCAGTAACAAACAGAAAAAATCATTACAAAAAAGGCAAAAATGGTAAAGAAGGCGAAGAAGAAGAAGAATAAAAATCAAGTAAAACTTGAAGAATCAACATGATCATCAGTTTGTTTCATTGGTATTACATCGTGAAATAATGGTAATAACAAGAGATGAGAGTAGAAAAGAAGATGAACTGAAACAGTTGGAATGA